AAAAAAAGCCACCCCCCCCCCCCCCCCCCCCCACAACTAGCTGGAAATTGGACTCTGCAGAAAACTCTGAGGCTCGAAGCTGTACAGAGATTCTACTATAAGTCAAGACGGAGTAGATGACAAAAAGTCCAGTGGAATGGAAAGGCTTCTTGAAGTTGAGTAACAATATTTAATTCGTAAAGCATCAAAAGGGTCAGTGGTAGAGCAATTGACTGCAGACAAGAGGTCACCGATTCGAACGCGATAAGGCCCTGATTAAAAGAATTGACTCCGTGGCCCAATGGATAAGGTCCTGGTCTACGAAACCAGATATTCTGGGTTCGATCCCCAGCAGGGTCGAGTTTTTGAATTCATTTTACCTGTCAATTTTGCTTATACTTATTCGCTTTTGCCGATCGGAGTATTTACAAAGTACACGTAAGCAAGGCAATGAAACCTCAAACACTGCAATCAGAATATCATAATAGTGATTCTGCAATCTGCAGCAGACTGCCACTGCAAAATGAAATGCTACCTTTGCTTCATTTTGATATATACATAGCTTAAGTGAATCAAAGCATTCGTAATACTATGTACCCAACAATCACTATATGGTTAGTCGCTTCTCAGTACGACATCCGACAAAACGTCGAAACTTTCTTCTTTTGTGTAATAGTCGAAAACATGAGAATTAGTTGATTTATACACAGCGTCCCTTCGCAAGAAAGAGTGAAAAAAAATACAAAATCAACTAACCTATTCGAACGGTGTGCCATCACAGTAGGCAAGAAGAGTTGGATATTTTCGACTTTATGTTTGACTGTCTGGTGACTTTCATATTGCCATTACATGAGGCAATAATAGTTGGAAATCACGACTCTATGTTTGAGCGGCTCAAATCACTGTACTTTTTTTGAGAAACAATTATTTTAAGAGGTTAAATTTTTGGAAAAGTAGTTCGTATGTGACCCACAAATTTAATTACTTATCGGAGGATGGTTACGTTGATAGGAAGGGTATTTGGACAACTAATAGTGTCAAAAAGGCAGAACTGAAATAATTACCTCGCTCGAATGGAAATAACTTATCATTTTGAATCATACCCTTACAATAAAATATTTTACATGTCAATATAGAATTTTTCCTACATTTTAATCACACATTTTTCAAAAAATCACTATTCCAAAACTTATTTTCCCCAAAAAATTCATTTTGATGGTTTTCAAATAGGGATTATAATAGAAGTGAACAGATTACATGAATGGTATGAATTAGGGTGGAGTTCTTGAGGAAGCTGACGATCTATTTGTTATTTTTGAAAAAAATTGGGACTCTTGCTACATTTTTTTACTTTATTTTTTTTTAGCCCTTGTTTGAGCCCCATTTCTTTTTGGAAAGAATGAGTTTTTGAATAATGTATTGATGAGAAATGTGTAGTTAAAAAATAAAGAAAATTTTTAGATTTACGTGTAATATTATTTTATTGAAGAATGTATGCTTAAAATGATATCAAAACACTGTTGAAAAAATGTATTTTTCCAAAAGAATAAGGCTCAAACAAAGGTTAGTTGTTAGTTGCTTTGTTTTTGCTTATTTTGACAAATTCGTTATTTTAGGTGGCTTTAACCGTCAAACCGGATGGAATGATGAATTTTCTTACTCTTTTGAAAGTTCGAGAATGGATTGTGCTAAGCAAAAATTGACGTTGGAGAGGAAATATTCCCGAAAAGAATGGGAACCTATTTATAATTGGAGTATGTTACTTGTATATAATTCGATATCCATAACGGTGTTCATCCCCCTTGACACTCTTTTATACATAGCATCATCCTTTAAAATTAAGTGTATAGGTTAGAGACTAAGATGCAATTTTTCAAAAGATATAATAAAGCCCCCGGCGAGGATCGAACTCGCGACCTTTCGCTTACGAAGCGAACGCACTACCACTATGCTACGGAGGCGTCTTGGTGGTGGCGTATGCTTTTTTATTATTTAAATTAAACCATCTAAAAACCCTTGACACCCACTCCTCCTCGTAAGCTTATTGCGAGAAACTAGGGTTTACAGAGAAAATACACGAGCATAGAGATGTGTGGAATAGCACTGATTGTCTGTGGAATTAAGATCGACTTATCACTTTTGATCCCAAATTTAACATCTACGTGCCCTCAATTTTCGCAGAACTGCGTAATTTTTCTAACAATATTCAATTTTATTGCAAAATTTGGAATTTGATTTTTGATTTTTATTTTTTCTGTAGCTAATTATATGTTAAAATGCCAGCCTTTGTTTTCAGAGGATGACATAAAAGCAACTCTGCAAAGGAGGGGCCCCGACAGCTTAGGAACGAGAAATATTTTACTTCATCCCAAAATTGGAAAAGATTGCAGTACTTTATCTTCTTCTGTTGAGAATGAAGGGTCAGCAGAAGATGGATTTGGGAGTGAAGTTTTTGGGAAATTGCAATTTATTGGTGCAACATTGCAACTTAGAGGAGTGAATCCTGTTGTTCAGCCGTTGGTTGATGCATCTTGCAATGTCCTAATTTTTAATGGTATGATTATGAACTTTTTTTTTGTCAAATCAATTGGCAATAAATTTTCAATGATCTATTTATGCGATTTTGGATTGTTTTATCAAATATAAGGTTGAAGTTGATATTTTCCTTAGCTTAAAAAGCACTCTGTATCATTTGAAGTTTAATTTCTGCCCGTATACATATTGGTATTCGGACATGTTAGTTAAGTTTCTGCCTGTATACATATTGGTCTTTAGATAAATTAGTTAAATTGAACTTTAAGGGTTGAGAGGATTATATTTTATTTCTTATTTTCATGTATTCTAAAATTGAGTTAATCCATATTTCCAATCAATCATCTAGCTTCCATTGCCAATTGAAATTAAAAACACATTTTCTTCTTTTAATGATTGTGTCTTTTACCCGACATTAACTTGACACGATACTGCATATGCAGACATAAGTGGATATGAACACAAGATTACTAGCTGTTGATTTAAGTGCCAGTTGGATCAAGAATTAGAAGATATTCTTCAATGTTTTATTAATATTCAGAATTAACCATAAAAAACAATAGGCTGTGAAGTGTTTAAATGGATCAGCTAAGTAGAAAAAAATCCCCTAAACCCGCAAAAGACAAAATTATCCCTAACTTAAAGTGCAAGTTATAAAAAAAAAAAAAAAAAACTTCATCATTCTCCTCTGGCTGGAAAAGATTTACCCTTGAATCTCGCACCGCTATTTTATCTGAAGTCTGGTAAATCATTTAGTGAATTCTTCTACATTATATTTGAAATTTTTGGTTTAGTTGTAAGAAAAAAATTTGGGCGCGTAAAAAATTTCTCCACCACTTTTTAGATTCCATTGGCACCGCACAACCTTGAGCATGCTTAGTCCACCTCAACTCATGCCAATTACCCAGCTTCAAAAACTAAACATAATATCTAGTATGTCGCATAAAGAAGTGTTGCCACTAGTGTGCTCATCAACCTGCTTCCAAAGCAATGCCCTGCCTGCTTCACCAACCTGTTTAATGGCTGGTTCCAAGGCAATGAAAGATTTCAAACACCAGCATGCTTCTAGACCTAAAATTCCACCACAAACCTTAACAATTACAGCTGAGTTTGATAAGTTTTCCATCACTGCACGATTTGTGTTCATTTCCTTCCCAAACTCCATTTGATTTCCCCTCCCCCTATATTAACTACCTCAATATACTAATGACAAAAAGGCACCTCTGAATATTTTTTTGGGCATACTTGTCCTTTTCGATAATTGATTTGATTTCTTCATTGACAAGATTACCCACCTGATCCTCTGGGATTTTGAAATTTGCTGTCACTAAGATTGCCTCAAAGTGCTTGGACCATTTGTTTGTATATCTGGACATCAGTTTCCTCATAAAATATTAGTGGATTGTTATAATCTTCTCCTAAATCAGCATCTTGCTTGAGATTGAAAGGAACGAAAGGATAATAATCAGCGTTGGACTCCTTCAACATGACTGATTCCACACAAGTTGCCGTGCCGCCTAGGCCCACATCTCTGTTGTGTCGATCTCATAGCAACTTCTAATGGCACCTAACAATACCTATTCTTGAGCATTCAACTCATCCATATGTTTCTCATACAAATTGGTTTGTTGGTAGATTTGTGTCTTGTCCTTTTAGTATTGAATCTCACCCAGGCGTCACAAACAACATCCAGTCTCTATCAAGAATCTTAGGAATAATTTTGTGCTCTGATACCAACTCATGTAGACAAAAGTGTAAAGAACAATGAACACGAGATCACTAACCGTTGATTCGAACACGAATACTGATTGGATCAAGAGTTTGAAGAAACTCTTCAATGTTTTGTTAATATTCACAATAAAGCATAAAAAATATTTGGAGGGCTGATGGCTTGCTGAATTTGTTTCCGGTATTTCTCATTTGTTGAAAATTATTTACCCTTTTTGTGGGCTTAATGCTATGATTCTAAGGTGAAATATTTGGAGGAATTCATCTCAGCAGTGACAGCAACGACACGGAGGTTCTTATGCAATCTATGGAACAGTGCTGTTCTTGTGTTTCCCATGAAAATAATAGATATTCTTGCCCTTCTGGAGGAAGAATAAATTCTGTTCCAGAACTTCTTTCACAAGTCAAGGGGCCATGGGCTTTGGTTTATTGGCAGGTAACTTTGTGTGGTAAGTTTCTGTCTGTGATGATTTCAAATGATACTGAAATAAGGGATGCTTCATGTTCATTGTATTTGGTTACTCTAACTTAGTTGATTGATGCTTGTAGGATAGTTCAAAAACCTTGTGGTTTGGACGAGATGCGTTTGGGAGGCGGAGTCTTCTAGTACATTGGCCAACACCAGATGATTCTAGGCTTTTGCTATCTTCTGTGTCATCATGTCCTTCCTCGCACCAGAGTTATGGTACATACTTCTCCGTGGACACTTAGTCTTTCCTTTTAGATTTTATTTGTCGCTCATTCTCGAAAGACATATAAATACCATGTAGGGTAAATTAACTTGTCAGTGCTAAGAAGTGACTGTGTGTTGCCTTTTTTCTTAGTTGATATATTGTAGATAAATCTGTCCTCCCTCTCTCTCTCCTTCCATACCCAAGGAACAAGAAGGGTTCCAACTTGAAAAATATAGGACCTTGAATATCAATTCATCCCGGCCAGCAACTGGTATAGTTGGAAAAATGTTGAAATCTCCCGTAGTTTCAACTTTTACCTAAATTCTCTTTCCAAATATAAAAATGGTCTTGAGGATGTTCTTTATTTTGCATATAACTTCCTTGTGGTTCTTGTTCCATCTTAGGAAAAACCCAGAATAATGGATTTGGTGTTTGTCTTAAATTTATTGGTGAAATAATTTATTGATAGTCAAACAAATGATGTTTCTGACCATATTTGAATGAATGTTGCTTCATTGTAAGTTTGAATTATTTTGTACATTTTCTTGTAGCAATTCTTATTGGGCAAAGCTCCTCCAGTTTATGGTGCTTTTTTTTCTGTCCATGTTCTGTGCTTAGTTCATCTGTTTTACAAACACTCCCGTTGCATTCTTTTCCAGATTTTGACGATGAAGGAATGCTTGACTTTAATTTCTGGGAAGAGCTGTCATGTGGTGTATACAGTGTCTCTGTAGGCTCCCCAGACATGGATGAATATCTGATTGGCAAAGTTCAGAAACATGAGTGGACTGATTCTGAGCTAAAAGAACTTATCACATGGGAGAGAACTGCTATACAACCCAAACTTGAGGATTCAAGTGCTTCCTTTGGAAAAGTATCCATCAGCCAAAATGACAGGCTTTCATCTCTTTCGTCTGAATTAGGTCAGCATCAATACCATGAGGCAGTTCAAACAACATGCAGCTTTTTTTATTTTTATTTTTTGGGCTTTGACATTAATGGAATTGTCAAATTTTAGTTGTCTCCACCAACAATTTGATTTCTCTTTTACTAACTTCTGATTATACGAGGTTAAAATTATTTTAATTGCAATTCCACTCTTTTATTTTTCTACAGGGTCTTTACAAATTACGCCTTTGCCTACGTCTCAGAAAGTGCTGATTGCTCTGAGAGAATCTGTAATGCGACGCACCTCCTTATATAAAATATTCAAGGTTTGAACATGATCTTCAATGGATCTGCTGGATTATTCATATGATTGTATCAGAAGTCAAATAAGTATTTATTTTGTTTTCTTAAAAAGTCAAAGATTAAGCTTTTGTACATAGATTTACTTTTAAGGTATTATACAGCACAGTCGAAAGTAGAACGTTATTGAATTTTTTGAAGTAAATTTAACTTGAACTGGCTGCTTTTTGTTAATGAAAACACTCAATTTCCATTTTTCCTTCAGATTCAATTTGGTTCTTCTTTCTTTGTTTTTAAGTAGCTGGCTTGACTATTCTTTCAATTTTTCAATAAATGCCTAGGCTTTTCCAATCGACCATAGACAAGAGAGATATGCTCCAGTGGCAGTTCTTTTTTCTGGGGGTTTGGATTCTATGATTATTGCAGCATTACTGCATCAGTGCATTGATCCTGAATGTAAGTATTCCCATCCATGAAAGTTGGTCTGTTTTTCACTTTGCCCTGATCCTACCTGCTACCAAACAGTGCCTTGTTAGAATTTTGAACTTTAATAGTATAGAGTTATATTTCACTTGGAGAACATCTCTACCTGTTTTAGCTGTTTGATAATTCTTCCTTTGGTAGAAGTTTCATTTAATGCTGTCATCTTTTTCAATTCTGTGACTTGCAGATGAAATTGATCTGCTTAATGTAAGCTTTGATGGCGAGTCTGCTCCTGATAGAATCTCAGCCAGGGCAGGATTGAAAGAACTTCAAAAGAATGCACCATTAAGGAGGTATGCGGTTTAGTTTTTGCTTGAGTCAGATGTTATCACTGTTTAGTATCCCAAGTCAGATAGATTTCAGGGAAGTGCACTAGTTAGTCGTAATTATTCGGTTTGGAGTGTTCTAGGATCATTCAAATGGGTCCCAGTTTCTGATTGAGTTGGGAAGCTTTTAGAAATATTTGCTTTTCTAACTTGCCTTTCCTAGTGTTATTTGCTTCTCAGATCATTGCCGATATTACACAGTACTCCTGATTGTCTTTTTTTACTCATTTGCTGTCATGTTACTCAACCTACCCCACCAGAATGATCATCATCTTTTGCCTTTCCTACATATTTGTGATTTTGCAGATGGAACCTCGTAGAGATTGATGCTGATTTACTGAAGTTGACCTGTGAGACCAAGCGTGTCATGTCACTTATAACTCCAGCAAAAACCTACATGGTACAGTTCTTACCTGAAAAATATGTTTAAGCATTACTTTCTGTGCTCTGAGATGTGGCCAGTGTGCTCATTTTAAGCATTATGAATGCTTAGCAGCTTGCATATCTGGAACAGTACTTCG